TCTCTCTCTCTCTCTCTCTCTCTCTCTCTCTCTCTCGGGACAAATTGTTCCTGGATTTGGATTCGCCCGCGCAGTCCACCAGTAACGGAACTTGCAAGTTGCAACCTCTCCACACAGGCTCCACAGGGCCAGGTGCCAAGTCCCACCAGGAGCGTTGAGCTTACTCAACCTCCGAACCGGTGCCAAGTTCCACCAGCAGCGTTGAGTTTTCTCAACGCCCGAATCTGAACATGTGTTGGTGGACATGTGCAGAAATTGCATCGAGTTTCTCAACACCAAATCTCCACAAACACATCCACATACCGGCCTTTAGGAAATTATGCGCTGCTCGTGGGACTTGGCCCTGGGCAGGTGCTACTCTGTTCACAGACCCTTCATCTCGACTGAAATGTATGGGCACGGTACCCAGGCAGGAACCTGTCCTGAAAACGACAAAACTGCCCATTTTTAACTTGCCATATTTTGGGAGCGCCACCAGATGTTTTATGTTTTTTTTGCCTTTATGAACTGGGAACGACAGGGGCTTGCCGAACTGTGTTTTTTTTGCCCATTCTGAGCTACAGGTGGGACACGGTTGTACTTGCCCCAGAAAAAAAAACTTGGGAGAAGAAAACTTGTCAGACCTTTTCGTGAGTTGTTTCTTTGATCCGCCACAGAGTGTGGCGAGTGCACAACTTTGTATTGCTGTGTTGTGTAGGGTCCTCCTTGTGAGTACACCCGGTTTCCAGCAGGTGCACCTCCCCACCAATAGTCTAAGAATGGAGTCATCGGCTGGGCAGGTGCCACAAAAGGCTCCCAATATCACCCTTGGTGCCACACTCTGAATGTGTTTTTTGTTACAAAAAAAAAAAAAAAGGGTCCTCCTTGTGACTCCCCACAAAACCACCTCTTCGGGAGTTTTCAGCTTTGCGCCTGGGGAGAGCTGGCAGATGCCTGTGTCGTGCTCTGTAACCCAGGGGGAGCTTGAGGCCTGGGAAGTTATGCCGAGGGTGGAAGGCATAACCAGATCGTCCGACATAGCTGGCGCTGGGGTATTGACCCTGTAACCTGCTTAGGCGCTTGCCGCTACGGGAATTGTTGAGGGAGGAAGGCACTTCCTGTCCGTCAGAGCTAGGTTGATCGGTACTGGGGAGGGTTGTGGTGCCCTGTTACCCTAGCAGAAAGGGGTATGAGATCAAGTGAGTTCTGGTACGGGGTCTGAAAGCCTGGACCGACGCTCCATCTGTTGGAAAGGGGAATCTAGGATAGCAGGCAGTTTTAGTTTTGCGCCCCCCGTTCTTATATTTTTTAAAACATTTTTTGAATGTCCCAAAGAGATTTGGGTGCTTAGTGGTCCTAGGATGTTTTTAGGACTTAGGGATCCCTACCAACTCGTCCAACGTGGCGTCATCACTGTTATACTCGAGATCTGCGGTTGTTCGATGCCAGAACGACGCTGACCGGAGCTGGGGTGTTGCCCTGTAACCTGCGATGCAGGAGCGTGAGGGCTGGTAGAGAGATCTGGGGAGATCTTGGGGGGGCTTTCCACGGGACAACCAAGGGTTGCTGCCGGGACGACGCTGGTCGGAGCTGGGGTGAGTTGCGTTGCCCTGTAACCCAGCAGAAAGTGGGGGTGTGAGACCTGGAAGAGAGCGGCAGAAGTGTACGACAGTTTTGGAGAACGTTGGAAGGGTGTGTGTGGGTTTTCAAGGTTTTTGGAACAATCGTAGGACCTTTGTGGCCTAATCTCTTGCTTCTGGAACGACGGTAAGAGTTAACAAGGTGAGTGGGAGAAGATGGTGGGTTATCACGCGTCCTACCAATGAGGGGGCTAGCTGGTAGGATGGGAGTATGGCATAGCAGCAGTACAGATGGTGGCTCTGCTGCAGTCAGTCTTGCCGGAGTGAGGCAAAGCGGATCGATGGGGCATTTTCCGAGTCGTTTCTGAATTTTCTCATGAAGTTGTCATAGACTTTTTTTTTCCAAAAAACAAGCTCCATCTATTGGTGGGGAGCAGCACCTGCTGGAAACCGGGTCCAGCGTCCCATAGATACAACCATATTCTCACAAATTGGCACGAACAGGGAACCGGGCCCAGCGTCCCATAACGAGTACGTTCAGGAAACTCATCAGAATATTTCATGAAAATGAGACTAGGAACCTACAAGAAAAATCCAATTAGCCTAAGAATGGAATTTTGAAAATTGAGATACCGGGGCCATTACCCGGCTTTGGCTTAGAGAAATTGGAGCTACTTCAAACATGTTTATGACAACTTTTTTTTTTTTTTTTTTTTTTTTTTTTT